TAATCGAGATCTCAATTTCAGTGAAAATAACCGTGATTATCATTTTTGCCATAATTGAGCAGCCCTAGCGCCAGCTTAGGCATTACACACAGGCCTCAGGGGTCTGGGGCAATAAACTCACTGTGCCCCCTCAGCTGTCTGTGCCAACACATTTATCAGCTAATTTACTATACTAAATTTAACATTAATTTATATACTTTGGTACTGAATAACTTAAACACCCATATCCCCAATAAATTAATAATTAAACTGAGCTCACACTGTATTATGTTTGCAGTCGTTTAGTGCTTCTGGAGCCATCGTGCCACACAGCATGACTGAGGAGGACTTTGGGAAGTTCTCATGTCTCTTTGAAGCTGAAAATAGTTTCTGCAGCTAGTTTAAAGCTAAAAAAGTTGCAAAACAAATGGAAAAGTGTTGAGGATACTGTGTGCTCACAGTCTGCTCTAGTATGTTGTGAATTCATTGATCTAATTCTGCACCTGGAGAAAATGTTTCTCTTGTCTGCTTTTATTATTTATGTTTTTATTAACTGTATTATGCGTATATAATTTCAATACATTTTTGCAGGGTGAATAGCAAAGTTACTTGAGCCCAGTGGCCTCCTGTCAAAGTTGGTTGCCCGTTTAGCTAATATGATGTACAGTCGATCCTACCCAACCCTAAATTTGCAAAACAAAAACCTGAACAACAAGTGCCAACGGTTTTATTAGGAAGCCCTCAATGTAAATGTTTTGTCTAGGAGGTTACAACATCCTCGATCTGATTCATGCTTACAAGATTTCACAGATTGCTCAACGGCAACACGATCAGGTCAGTGCCTTCAAGGAGACTTCCCCGGGGAAGGGAGGGGGGTGAAGGCACGTCAGTGAACGCTCCACTCTGTCCAGGTGAGTAAAGACGGCTTAACCTGTGTGGAAGTGACCTGAGCAGACACTGCGTCGGGCAGCAATCCAGAAAAGTATCTCTCTTCTCTGCGTATCTCTCCTTCCAGCTGCTGGAAGGAAAGATGGGAGAGATGCTAACGGCTAAATTAGCTCCCGAGCACCCCGAGGATTTTACATTTTAACTACAATCGCCAATCAGTCAACCACACAGTGTCCGGGCATTCTTCTATACGTAGTTTGTAAGCATTAGCCTCGCTGCTGTTTGACAGTTTTTCACTGACTGCCTCAACAACTAGCTGGTGCTAGCTAGCAAGCCGGCTCAGCTAGCAAACACAGGCTAACGATGTACCGAAAATAAACAAAATCCTACAAGGTGACATTTCGCCTGCCCTTACCATTTTTCTCCAAACAAACTTTCTGGTAGAAACAATCCCGACCCGAGGCACATTTTGCCCACGAAAAGCACGAGGCGAAAAGGCTTTAGTAGAACCTGAAGCTAGTCTAGTGTTGTGCTAGCTGACTCACCTGTACGTGTGAGACCACCAGGCTCTTGTTTCCTTCTCCGTGGTACTTCCAGTCGTTTTCGTCCATTTTGTCCAGTTCCATTACACCAGAGACCAGCAAGTGCGCTCCCGTCAACGGCCAGAAAGTGACACACAACGACACGGCAACATACAAGAATTGTAGATCCACTACTGACTGCAAGCAGTAATTTAAGGAGACTACAACACAACCGACGGACTACCCTTGCTGCTGCCCGGCCCCGGCGACTTTGTCACCGCCCACATTACCACTTCCGGTCTGAATTCAAAATAAAACTCCTGATAAGTGTCAAACGCAATAATGACCGAGGAACTGATGAATGAAGAAAATGACAAAATGACAGATAAAGGAGGACGGATAGAGGACAGTTGGTGAATAAGGAAGTACAGAGGATTAGTAAAGGAGGAAGAGGATGACAATAGTTGATCCAAGTAACCATATCTGTGGTGGTATGGAGATGTCTGAAAGAGTGGGCAGTGGAGTTTTTGACCAGTGTTTAACACAGTATTAGAGAGTAAGACGATGCCTGTGGAATAGAGAAGTATTCTGGTCTTTAAATATACTCTCTTTGTTTTATAAAGTTTTCCTAAAGCAAAAAAAAAAAAAGTTGAGTTACATGCTTTTATTTGTAGCTTTCTTCAGTTTTTAGTCTTGCTAATTTTGCCCAACTTCACTTTCTTTAAGCACATTGACAAGCCGCTCCCTGTTGGCTGTACTCCCATGTCCCGCCTGTTCCACTGTGATTGGTCAGAGGGTTGGACAGATGGGCTCAAGGACTGTAAGGACGCCAGTGTTGTTTCTGACAACATTACACGTGAAATAGAGGATAAGAAATGGAAAAACACTGTAAATCGTGTGATTCATCAGTAGTACCTGCATGTATCTCAGAAAAGGTTTTCAAATTTAAAATGCATTTCAGTGTTAAGCAGTGCATTAGCAATGAATACATTTATTTGACATACAATTTGAAATTAAGCATCAGAAATTATTTTTACCTCCACCAAGACAGCTACTTGTTTAGTTTGTCTTTTTATCTTCTGATAAGGAGGTTATGTTTCTGGTAGTGTGTGTGTGTGTTCATTCTGATTGTAAACTTTGTAGGAGTATTAGAGTGGGGTCACCTTAATAATACATTTAAATTTGGCTTAACATCCACCAAAGTCTTTGAGGTCAGCTTAATGATTTATTGGTTGAAAACTGACAACAAGCCCTATAACATTGTCTTCTGACCTCTTCTTCAAGTTCAAAACATTGATCTCAAGGTCAAAGTGATAATACTGACACCAAAAGGCATTATATCTTTAAAGAACATATTCTCAAGAGAATAAGGTGCCTAGTTAGAAAAGCACTGTAATATAAAATGACATAGCTGAAGTTCAATTTATTCTTGTTCAATTACTTACAAACACATGGCCTACTCCTACAAAGTGTTTCTTTAATTAAAGTAAACATTTGTCGTGGTACTCTTATCTGATTTTTACTGCAAACTTCATAAAGTATGTTTAGAAAAAGAACAAATTTAAAAATATTTATATATATAAAAAATACAATACCCTTCCTTTAAAAGTAAACACTGGCAGTCATAGCTAATGTTAGTAACACTTAATTTCTGTTTATTATGGTGTTACTTATTCTGACTTTGTGCCATACCTTCTTGGAAAAGATATCAACATTCAGCTCCAGCAACCATCACGAAAAAATGACCTTTGATTTGCTGACAGTCAAAAAAAAGCAAATATGACACTCTACAGTCTTTTTCCAGTCATCCTGTCCTCAACCCCCAACCAGTCGCAGCAGATGGCTCCTCCCTGAGACTGATTCTCCTGGAGGTTTTTTCCTGTTAAAAGGAAGTTTGTCATTCCCACTGTCACCAAAGCATTTGTTAAAAGATGGTCATCTGATTGTTGGGGCGTTCTCTTTTTTCTTTGTATTATTGTAGGATCTTTACTTTACAATATAAAGCACCTTAAGCCAACTGTTGTTGTCATTTGGCACTATATAAATAAAACTGAACTTGAAACAGACTGATTATGCTTGTTGTTATTTGCTGTCATACATACACACAGACAGACAATGCTGTTATTATTGTATATACTCAGATAAAACGTGCAGAAGTTTAAAATTATGAGGTCTGTGTAGGATGAAAGTGAGGATAAACCTGCGAATAAAAAGCTGAAACATCAAACTGTTTTTTCTGCTCTTGGCTCTGAAATGTTGTCCCTTATATGGAATGAAGGGCTGCACCCAGGCCCTAAGGAAAAATAGGAATTATTTTAAACTGTGAATCATGCAAGGATAGTTTAGTAGAGCCCAAGAATGAAAATATAGAAGTAATCCCTCAGAAGTAATTTACCTTTTCAGTGAATGAGCATCTGAATCCAGGAAGGAAGGAAGGAATTATAACCATCGCATGTTATGGTAAAATCAAACAAAGAAGTATACTCTTGGTACCAATATGAATTAATATTGTGCATCTGGAAAAAATACTTTAAAAAAATAAATCCAGATCCAGACAGGAAAGACACAAGATCTCTAATCACACCAGTTTTGATCGTCACGAGTGTGAATTTGCACAAATAAAAAAAGTCTTTAGTTTGTTTTTTACATATTTTCAGATACAGGTGTCAGGTTTTTATTATGCTGCACAGAATTTTCATTTATGATATTTTCTAATCCCACGACTGACAAAAAACAACACGGATAAAAGAAATTAAAGTATTTTTTTCTTACCAAGTTCCACATAAATTTACTTTTTCTGTTCAATTGAAAACATTTTATTTCGGTGATTCAATTCAACAGTTTATGTAACACAGCATCAACTGTTACAGGTGTTACCATAAAGCCAGCAAGTTTTTAATCCTCAAACACTTTCAAGCAAGGTAGTGCAGTTCAGGATGTTTCCCAGATGACTCACCACCTGAGAAATGTTTATTTTAGACTTTAAATGTAATTTTATTTGTACTGTTTTCATTCACTGCTGCCAATTTTAAATAAACCAGCTTCTTCGAACGAGAACAATAGTACTATTTTTTTTATATTGTTAAGAAACTCCTTCATAAGGCCGTGATCTACCAGTGGACACGTGACTGTCTTGGTAAAATCATCTCCTCTTTAAAATTTATTGAAGGAAATGTTTAAGGGGCTGAGGAGGACCTCCACTTTCAACCGCCGCACAATCCACAAAGTGCCAGATGCCTCCCGCTCATCCTACAGGTGGTGGGCCCACAGGATGAACCTACGTAGATTGAATGGCTTAAGACTACAGTGCTTACCTTCTAGGTAAGGTGTTTGGGCCATGTCCTACTGGGAGGACCCAGGAAACAATGGAGGGATCATGTCTTTTAGCTGGATCAGCTGAATCATCTTTGCTTAGACTGTTGCAACACAGATCCGGCTGTTCATCAAACATGTCGGCATGTTTTGTACATCTAAAATTTTTGTTATTGGCTGACAGATACTGAACAGACACCCATGAAAACCTTCATCTGCCTCAGCCTTCAATCCTCAGTAAGGAGCTATTCAAAACAAGCCAGAAGCTCAGAGTTGAAATTAAAGTCAAAGTTCAAATCATTATTTATAAATCAGAATGTTTTAATACGTATAAAAACGACAAGCAAGACAACGCACACACTATTAGGACACAGACGTTCTATACATGATGAAATCCTACGGAGGACGTGTGACCTCTACTGTGACAACTCGGCCGCTTCACGGGTCCGGTCAGAGAACCGGGCTGACGAGTTTTCCTGTGACGCTGGTCTCTGGTTGGGGGAGAAAACAGTCTGCACACCAAACAGGCTGCTCATTCACAGTCTGTACACCACTTCAGGATTTGTGTCTCTTTCTTTTGAGCCTGCTGATGTTCCTCCACAAACACACAGAGCTGGATCAGTCCATCCCTCCGATGTCGTGCTGTTTGTACGACGGTGTGACCAGACTCCCTGCAGAAGAAAAAAACTCGCCGTCAGTTACTCGAAGGTTAATCACTGTCCCGTCATTTGTAATGTGTGTGTGTGTGTCTGAGTGAGTTGTTTCTGACCACCAGCCCAGATAAATAGGGGAGGGTTGAGTCAGGAAGGGAGGAAAACCTAAAAAAAAATTTGGATAAGAAGGATGCAAGACTGTGGCAACACCTGTTTTATTGTAATTTACTGGTTAATATTTAATAATCAAGTTAATTATTTTCCTTGGATAAGTTTAGCACAATGTACAACATGTAATGACTGCTGAAACACTTCTAAAGAGAAATGTTTTCACACAGAAATTAATTTGTCACAGGTCCAGAGCTACTTTTTAACGCTTTCTGGAAGGGGTGCAAGGATTTTAATCATATGACATGTAACATCTGTTCAGGAAATGTTCTGTTTCAGTGGCTGTAAGAGTGAAAGCAAAAAGAAGGAAGCTAAATTAAAAAAAAATCACAAAAAAAATCAGTTGAATGTGATTAAAGTCACAAACCACTAAATGTGGGGAAAGAGACCAGCGTGAATCACAGGACCTCAGCCATCACCTGCTACTCATACAAAAAAATAAATAAATAAAAAATGTATAGCGTCATCTGGTATCTCTTTCACTCTCTCACGCACAGACATACTCACACCCTCAAGATCTGAGCAGCAACACTGCAGACAAACATTTATATCACATGAAAAGCCCAAGGAGCGAGGCGGGAGTGGGAGCAGGAGGGTCAAAGGCCAAGCAGGAAGTAGACTTGTCAGCTAGCCCACAGGGAAACAAGCTACACCCATCCCATCAACGGGCACGTCAACACCCATCTGCCAACCACAGCCCAACATCAACAAATTTAAATGATGGCAGATTAGTCTGAGCGAGGCTGCAGTTAGCAGAGGTTATACCTGTGAAAAGCCACAGTCGGGGAGGAATAACAAAGGTGGGGGAAAAACTCAACAATCAGTCAACTTTTTCAAATATCTGTGGAAGACTGATCACAGCATTACGCTTCGGTCATTTTCCTGTATTTAGTTTGTGTGCCACTGTCGTTGTTTCCCATGAGAAAACTAATGTATTTATCATTTAATGCTCGCTTGTCGTGCAGCCACTTCAATGTGCTGTTTGATAAGTTCCCGACAGCAGTGTTCCAGTTTAAGTTCAGTTGTTATAACTGCTGATTAAAGCTCTGCTCTCTGACCTAAAATGCAGTGAAATTACAATGACAGCCTGACGAAATTCTGGGAGCAGATTTCCACTTTGTTCATTTATTGAAAAACAACAAAACGCTGAACTCTAAGATCCCATTTTAGGCCAAAGAGAAGCTAGAGGAAATGTCAGCAGTGGTTCTATCATGTATCTATATTGATGTCAATTCAAGGTTGGCATTCATACTTGGCCAGCCAGGTGTGTCATTTCTAAGATACTGTCATTGTAGCTGTTCCCACACTATTCAGTCCACAAACACACAAGCCCACACTTGTTACAAATAACAGGTTCAGGCTCTGCACAAAGGAATAATCCAGGGACTTCTTTGTTCACCAGACCTGTTCAATTAGTTAAAAACAAACTGTGTTTGTTTGAATTTGTTCACTTAGCCCTGGACTAGACACAGTGTGCATCTCCAACGCAGTTTTAAACCATCCATCAAACAGCATCCATCATCTTTTATTTTGAAAAGCCACCTGCTCTGCCTGACTTCCTGCCCTCCTAACCTGCCCTGTGCATCTTGATGAAGCTGAACAGACCTTACAACTGTTTCAAGCAATGAGAAGCACTGAGCCATTTCCAGGAAATATTTTTGTACAATCATTATCTTCAGTGGGTGCGATCAGCTCCAACAGCTGGAAAGCAAGACAGCTGTGCCCAGAGTGACCCCGCAGTTAGGCTGATGTGAAAGCTGAGCAGCTAAACAATGCAATAAAACTGTGATGTTAAAAATACTTCTCTGTGTTGATGAATTTACTTGATATGTATTACAAAAGCCAAAGATGTCAGGATCAAGCAAACATAATGTTGACTATGCCTGCAGTGGAGGGGTCCCTAAAAAATCCTTAAGAGAAAACAAGCAGATGAGTGCACCTAACAATATGTTTTAAAGTTGACCATGTGATCTATCAAACACAGCAACGCTTCACAAACTGAAGGGAAATGTCTTGCACACCACAGGTAATGTGTTATAGCTTAAATAATTATAACATCATAGAAAAAAATACCTTGCCAAATACAGATGATGCATTAAGGCAGTGGTTCTCAAACTACTTCAAGCACTGGAAAAATTCAGGCCCCACTGCCCTCAAATTTTGTAAATCAGAACTAGAGGTCAACCTAATAGCGTCCGTCCACAAAGTCTTATTTATCTTTCATTAATAAAAGGTAATAATATAAGATGAAAGAATTAAAATTAAATTCACTTCATTCTCACTTATTTTATTTTCATCAATCTTCCTTGCATCACCTACAGTGGCTCTCTGCCCCATAGTTTCACTGCTTTAAGGACACATACACCCATTACAAAAAGGCCATGTTCCCAACACATGGATCCAATTTAACTTGTGCAGTACAGCCACCTGCTGGACAGGTTTGGAGACGTTTGTTATGTAGTCCCCAAAAATGATGTGCCGAAGCATCCATTAGTTTATTGTGTCTGCGGACAAATTTGCTCTTCACGGGTCTTTAGATTGTGGTCAACAATAGACAACTGGAGAGATCATCCTAATTCTTAGAAATCTGTTTGTTTGGGTTTTTTTTTTTTTTATTTAAGGTGTGATTTTTATTAGGATCTCAGGATAAAGTTAGGAAATTTTTCAATCTGACAGTTCTTCTCCTGTAGACGAAGTCTGTCAGTGTTTATGACAGATGGGTGTGTATGGAGTAATCACAGTATGCTGATGTCATCTTTTCAGCCTGAATTGGATCTCATGTTAAAAAGACTGTTAGGTATGAGCACATGTTCTAACCTCCAGACTGTGGCTTTATAACAGGTGGGTCTCTGTTAGTGAGCTGTGTGGTTGGGGTTGGAGGGGTGGAAGCAGTACAGGGGTAGGGGTGGGGGTGCTTTGAAGACAGGCCAGGCTGGTAGGGCATCAGTCAGACTAGCAGGGCTAACAGCTCCCAGACTCAGAGGCGGCAGCAGCAGCAGCAGCAGCATCATCATCATCATGGGTGGTAGCATGCTTACCTGTGGCCTGGCCCCCCTCTGCTCTGCCCTTCAGCCCTCCTCCTCCTCCTCCTATTCCTCCTCCTCCTATTCCTCCTACTCCTCCCAGGCCAGAGCTGCCCAGGGCATCGGGCACCACAGGAAAGGAGGGCCGATCGCCCTTGTAGGGCTTCGGCCTGAAGGGGAAGTCTTTGTCTTTACCTTTGGAGCCTTTGGGCCGGCCTGCTGTCTTCTTCTTTGACTTGCCGTCCCCTTTTACACCCAGTAAGGGGTGTACCTCTGAGGAGAGCGAAGACAAAAGGCCATTTTATAACTTCTTGAAAAGAAGTGAAATTTTCTTTTTGTAACTTTAACCACCAACAATTTATCTCCTCTCTCTCACCATCACTGGGCACCCCCTGCAGTTCAATGGTGGTGGTCCGAGCTTTTTTCTTGGCTGGACCGCCTTCAGATGAAGGCTGGCGCTGCTTCTTATCACCACCAGTCAATGTGTCATCTGGAGCTCCAGATTGAACTGAAGCGTCTGGCGGGGGACCGAACGGGTTTTCCTCTGGATCTTCAACCTCGGGGGCGATGGGCAGGTACAGTAGGGCCTTGTGGTCCTCCAGCTCCTCATCACTAAATAACACAAACACAGATAAGACTTTTCACTTTTTTTAAACTTACATTTATAACAATAATCATCTTCCTGGTGTGTTAGAGACCTGCAGGATCTTTTAAGGCATTCCAGATGGCTAAAATAGTTTTGAGAGGTTCCAGTCGTCCTGATTTATAAGCTAAAGGATTGATGATTAAACCAGTTTTAATGTTACATTTAAAACATGGAGGTGAGTTAAAACATAACCCTTAAGACTAAATGTTTTGGATGAGTTAAAGGATGAGATAAGGGTCGCCTGGAAGATTTGACGAAACCACAAAGATTTTCATTTCCACTCACATTCAGATCAATTTCATTAATACAACGCTAATTTTAAACAACGGTTGTTCCAAGGTACTTTACATTGTAAGGTAAGATCCTTCAAAATTATAAAGAGGAGCAAGTCGTTCATGACAGTTGGAAGGAAGGCCTCCTTTTTACCAGTTATTAATAGGTATTTACAATTTGATTGGGCAATTTTGGATTTTGTAAATATGATATCTCTTTCTACTCTTCGTTAGCGCTCTCACCTGCTACAAAAAGCAGCTATGGGATCAACAGTGGTCACATCCACCTCTTCATCTTCTGCAGCGTCTGCACCTGTAATGTGGACACAAGTTCATCTCTGCATTATGATGCAATGTTTAATTGTATGGATCTCATGCGGAAAAGCTGCCATCACTGTTGTGGCTATAGAGCATCTGGAAAAAAAAAAATTTTTGGAGTAAGACTGTAAATTAATCTAGCCGTATAGAAAGCAAAATGTTTTTTTAGACAATTTTAATCTAGTTTATTTGCAGCCTTTTCACCAAAAATCTGTCATCTGCTTACTTTTTTCACAGCTCCAAGTACTGCCTCTGTTTTCTTTGTGCATTAAAATCAACAGCACACTGGAATATACTGTATATACACCCCAATAGCCTGATATTTGAGTAGACTTGAGTCACTTTTCCACTGCATATTAAAGACGCACCCTCTAATCTGTATTCAGCAAGAAGTAGGAACAAATATTAACTACTCTTCTGCTGTTCCATATTAAATTACATGCAAATAAACACTTCTTGTACTTCAAAAAAGCCACTGCAGGATCAGCGAAGATGTTACAAAAAGAGCTTTAAAACACAAGTCATTTAATAATTAAGAATAGGGCTGGGCCATATCATACCGTTCATGATAATACCGGTATAATGTTAGCCAATGATATGACAATTAAATATCGCGATAGAATATGGGTAAAACACGCATGCGCAGTGCCTTTGTTTTCATACACACATGCCGGAAAAAGCATGATAGCAACGGAAAATGAGAAGGGCAAAAGCGGATCGTTGAATGAAACAGATGAACCAGAATTGGTTTGTAAAAATGGTGCAACTTCAGTGGTGTGGAACTGGTTTGGTTTTTGTCCGGCGCTCAAAAATCTGTCAAAAAGTGTTTCAGTACGACTTTTGTAAGCTACGAAGCCGCAGCGCTTGATGGATTGTCAGAGCATTGCGGCTACTGTAGTCAGGAGCCTCGCGGAGTGATACGTACTGTGCTTCAACATAATATTTGCCGTATTGTGTGTGTATAAGGACTCCAAAATGGCACTTGTTAAGAGACATGCGTATGAAGCGGATTTTAAACTCAAGTCATGCAGTAGAACATGGGAATAGAGCAGTTACTTACCTGTCTGCTCGGGTTCGCTCTTGTCTTCGTCCTCAATGTCGAATTCCGACTCTCGCTCCTCGTACTCCACATTCTCATCCAGCTCTTTAAAGTCTGGAGCAAAAGCACTCCAGTTTTCCTGCAGGCAAGCAAAACATTCACACAATAATGGCACCAAGTTAAGTCATTAAAGCTTAAATTACCACAGCTTAAATATCTGCCGTGGATCTGAATATTTAAAGCTAGGTATAACAAACATAAGAGGAAAAACACTTGAGATTAACGCTGTTCATTCATGCTCATTCAGCTTTCATGCTCATTGTCCACTTACGACTTGGTTCTGAGCCCAGATGGACACCACTCCACTAGAGATGGAGGCAATGATGGGACGGACCGGATGCCACTGAAAGAGGTCAAAGGTAAGATTTGTTTTAAAAAGGTCATTTTAAAATATGTGATGTCTCAATGTAACTGAAAATAGACCAACATAACTGAGTGTTTTAACCTTCATGCACAGTGTTGAGAGCACTTACAGCGACATCCAGGAGCAGCTCTCCTCTGGTTCCATGCAGGATCTTCACCAGGTTCCCGATGCTTTTCTCCCAGATGTAGAGGGCATGCTGCCTTGCTGAACCAGCCACAATGTACTCACCATCCCCTGAGAAACAGCATCGCTTCCATGGAGTCCTGAACAAATTACCGACAGTATTTGAAAGACCTTTTAATTCCACACAAACATTTGGCATACCAAAAGAATGCATGTCAGATCAACCACTGCAGTTTCCTCTGCAAAACTATTCCGGCTCATTCACTCCTTAAACAGGCATGACTTTTATTCCAAAAATGTATCTCCATAGATGTACCTGTTTACCAAGTCCTGAAGTTTCTGCATAGGTTCAGGCTCACCGTCCCGGCCACAGGTCAGGATCTCTCTGCCGTCATACACCCTGATGATCCGGTCTGCTGTGTTTATTAGGAAGCAACTGCATAACAAACAGGACACATGTACAAAGAGAGAGAGAAAAGCTCAGCATTAACAAGAAGGATAAAGCCCACAGAATGCAGAATATAAGTGAATAAGACTGAAAACCAAAAATTAACTGGAACAAATTGTCTTGATTGTGATCTCTAGACTATGTTCATCACTCCAGGTTACATACAGAAAGCCCTCCTGCTACCACTCACCTGCCCTTTCGTGCAAATTCGATGGACTTGATGGCTGTGGTGTTGCTGGTGCCTGTTGTGACTCTGAATGAAGCCACCAGTTCCTGAGTGTTTGTGTTCAACACCAGGATCTGTAACAGCAGATAGAGGGAGAAGAAAATCATCAGAAACATGGGATGACAAGTGCTTTGAGTATGAAATATAAATGGTGAAAATGTGCAAATAGCTCAGTATTCACTCATTATTTTATCAGTTCAGATGTGATTTCGCCCATCATATACACCGCAACAGTGTAAGTGTTATATCAGAATTTAATAGAGCTGTTTTCATACATGAACTCCAGAAAATGATGTGACAATGAGGTTAGGAGACGCAAACAATGGCATCACTCAATCTGGCGGAGATCAATGAAGTACTATAAATAAAGCTTTAGGAGGAGCTTTGAGACTGTTTAATGCCCCATCAGAATGTTAGAGCTGAGTAATGCCAACAAACAAAACAAAACAAACAGACGTTCAGCAGTGCGTGTGGAAAGCACTGATGTGAATGAAACATACAGTGACTAAAGTGACATTGAAGCTTACCTTTCCTTTGGCATTGCCAGTGTAGATGTATTCACCTCGCCTGTCGAAGGCTGCCACCACGTTGAGGTCTGAGTCATCATCCACAGGCAGGACAACGTGTTTGGAATCTGACAGCGTCAGCAGGACTGGCGCTGACTTCATGGGACACACCAGCACCTTGTCCCTAAAACATACATCACTTCTTCTTAGCATAGAATCATTACCCTGAAGACTGATTACACTGGACAAAGCCCATAATCAGCATCACTGCTCTTTAAATCTGACCCACAGCCAAACCTCAAACTACACAACTCTGGTAATGTGTACAGAATGACATGATCAGGTCACTCACATGTCTCTGGGGTGGTACTGAAGCTTCAGGATTGGTGAGGGGAAGCGGAACCTCTGGTCACAGTCCCCCGTGAGGACATCCCACTGGGAGACGATATTGTCTGTAGAGGCACTCACCAGCTTGTGGCCGTCTCTACTCCAGCTGCACATATGTAAACAAACCATGAGGAATTCTTTAACAGTGACTAAAACGGTCACTTCAAACAGCAGAAATTATAACTCTTAACCTCACTTAAAGCCCGCTTTTCACCTTTTTGCTTGCCTTTCCATAAATAAAGATATTACCCCCATCAGAAAGCCACAAATTCATAAAAATTCATCAGAATGCAGGAAATGTTGAGTTTAAAACTGAACGTGGTTCCCTCACTTGTATCCACTCAAACGAACAAACAACATGTTCTCACCATAAAGAGCAGACTGGGTGGATGTGTGCGCTGATGATTTTGGCTATCCCTCGTGTGAGGAAGTCCCAGATGACAATGCGACCGTCGTTGCAGCCCACAGCCAGCAGGGTTCCCCAGCGGTTGAAGGTGCACGTGAGGGCCATGCTGATACAGTCCAGAGTGCCATCTGCCTCCTGTCATCAAAACAGACATTAACAAACAATAGCAAAAAAAATCTTAAGTCTATACATAAGGCTTTAAATCTGACTGCACTCAAAATTAGAAGATTCAATTACACTCATATAGCTGTTTCAATGATTTTCAGAGCAAAAAACAAAATTGGCTTGTGTGTATTAAAAACTGGTGGCTTACCTCTGGATAGTTCTGCCCAAACGATTCTGAGAGAAGAACAGAAAGAGAGATTAATAACAATGACGTGGCAGCTGGAGCAGAAACTTTTACTAGTCATTATTTAATTCTCATAGAGTCACAGTCAGTCAAATAAAGTAACATTAAATATTAAATACATTATATTAAATACATATTAAATTGATTTATATATATTGAATTAAATACAGTTACAAAAAAAAACTAAGAAAGACTTGCACACCACATGGCTACCAGTAAGGCCCGAGGAAGGTCCTATAGATCCAAATTTCTTCGTATAAATGTTTTAAGGATTAAATTATTATTGGAGTCAAATGATTTGCACACCCTGCTTCCTTTTCTTTTTTTGCAAATCAGAGAAAAACCCCTTCATTTCACTGCTTAGTTTTTAAACAGGAACTAGAATAGAGATCCTGCTAATTATCCTAAGCAGCCCTTGAACACATTACACACTTTCTGTGAAGCTTATAGCAGACAAAGCCAATAATGAGAGTGGTTATTCTATTATTTATTATTTTTTAATATATCAATTTCGCTTTTCTCTCTCTCTCTCACCAAACCACACCTAACCCCAAAACTTTATTATGTAGACTTCATTACAACTGCCTAGGACAAGAAAGACGTGTACTATGTACTAAAACATAGTACAGTTACAAGTTCATACTATTCTTATTTCATACTATTCTTATTTATTTATTTGGCATGGCTATCTTTATTCTTGAACAAAGCCTGAACTCTCTTAGACAAACTTTCTTGTAATTTCTTTGAGCAGTCTTCAAGAATATTTCCCCAGTCTTCTTGTCTAATGTTGAGAGCTGGGCTTTGGGGGGAGGAATCAATCCATGACTGATGGTGTTCCATTGTGTGCTCTTTAGGGGTGGGGGAAAAAATCGATACTGTGTAGTATCGTGATATTTTGTTTGCTAATAATGTATCGATACAGGGACAGCAGAAATCGATATTTTGTTACAGAAAAGTTTTTGTGGACTGGAACTCTGACTTCAGAGCATGTTGATCCTTTTTCTGAGCAAGAATCCTGACATTCCTTCACTGTCCAAATGTGTTTAACTTTTTTTTATTGCAGCAATAAACATGACAGTTTGCTTATTTTAATTTAAGACATATTTTATTTTAATTAAGTTTAAAACTTTTTTATTTAATGTAAAATTATATTTTGTTTTAATTTACTTTCAAATTCTTCAGTTGCTGAAGGGGCTGCATAGTTTTCACAAATTCCATAGTTCAGAATAGCTATAATTGTACCAGATGGTTGCATTCAGTTAAGTTGGACTAGACTGTAATACAAACCGTTCAGTTTGTCAACAATAAAACTGACTGAAATGAGAGAAAGACTGAGTGTGAGACTTTGATATTAGATAAAATGAATATTGATAAAGTTTACCTTTATGTACAGAATCTGAATATTGCAAAATATTTTAAAAAATTGCAATAATATCGTATCGTGCGTTAAATATTGTGATAATATCGTATCGTGGGATGTATGGTGATTCCCACCTCTAGTGCTCTTCTATCCAGGTGTGCTTCTACCGTATTGGAGGGGTTCTTGGAATTATGCTGAAAATGAAGTCATTGCTAATCCAATGGTACGCCGATAATATTGCACGGTTAACCAAAATCTGATGGTACTTGTTTGCGTTCATAATTCCATGATTTGACATGCTCCATAACACCTCTAGCTGCAATTCAGGCCTAAACCATGATGGAGCTTCCACCATATTTTACAGATAGCTGTAGACATTTACCATTGTAGCTCCCTTATTTTTCCTCCACAATATATATTTATGATGATTTGAATATAATGTATATTTAGATTCATCACTCCATAAGGCCCATTGTCACCAATTTTCAGTCCAGTTCTTAGCACACAGCAGCCTTTTCTCCCTGCTTAAGAATGGTTTCTTGGCAGCCACCTATGCACTAAGACCATTTCTGATAAGACTTCAGTCGACAGAAAACTGATCAACTGAAGTACCAGGTGCATCTCTGAGGTCCTATGTCAGGTCTTGGTGGATTTTTCCCTATTGCTTATGGACATAACTTTCAGATGCTGTTAATCTATCGTAGATGAGGGTTCATTTTTTTAAGGCCCTCTACTTGTCCAGATTCCTGAATTTTTTTTATTGACACACTGTACACCATGCCAAAATATGGGTTATAAAAATCCATTATTGCAAATGTACCTTGTTGGTGCAAAAAACAAACAGACAAACATAAATGTATGGTATTTTTAGTAACTTGTGCTAACATTTGTATTTTCTGTAAATTCAACTAAAGAAATGGGAACAATAAATGTATTTTTGCAAAAGCCTGAAAGTAAAGTGAGTTAGAACTGAAATGAAAATGAGTGGACAAGCAACCAGTATCCAGAGAAAAACTTCATACAGCTTGGAGAAGTGTTGCTCAGGACCACTTTAAAAACACAACAAGGTCTTATTCATTGGAAGCAAATTATAAAGGACTGACGGCTGCATCGATACTTTTACACCGTACTGTAAATCGAAAACAGTTAAAATTAAATGAATAGCAGCTTAAACCTGTTTTTATATTTGTAAAATATCCTTATAGTCAAGTTAATGTAATTTCTTGGTGAATATGTTTTCCCCCCAAAATGTTGACAGTACTCGTTGTCACTGAGACAAGCTGTGCATCAGTTTTTGTTTTGTTTTGTTTTTTAACGGAAAAAAGCCAGCAAGTAAAAGTCCGATGTCGACTTAATATGCGAAGAAACTGCAAGAAAAAACACCAAAAAAAAAAACAAATCGAAACAACTGTAGTCTAAAATAAAAAAAAGGAAGACCTATTTAATTCAAACACACTATGTGAAGCTAGCATTAGCCACCTACTACGTCTACTGCTTCCAGCTTTTTACGTCTACATATTTAGGATCTCATATATTAAGCACTATTGTAATATGCTTTTTAGGAGACCTTAACAGCGTGTTTCTAATTAGTTGTGAGATTTTAACAAGCACTCGTATCGACTGCTGTTAACATGCTAGGCTAACTTACAATGCTAACCATAATAGGTACAAAGCAAAAGCGCCGTACGAACAGTAACGTGTACAGAAAATAGATATTCATCCTTAATTCATTACCGAGCAGTTCCAGATTCATTGCTGGACGCCTGAAGGTCCAAAGTCCCTAAACACCCCGATTCCTCTGACAGTTTTTTTCTGACTTTTGCTCGTATTTACTTCTGCTGCGACTGCCGGGGAGACTGGCGCCGAGCCTCTAGCTAGGACCCCAAACAATGCCATCTGAGATGTGCCTGAGCAAAATACAACCGTCCGTTTTTCCACTTCCTATATTCCTTCCTATATATCCACTTCCGGCCCGGTAAGAAGAGTTGCCCCAAATTCCTCCACAACAACTTGAATTTGTTGTCGCTAAAAGTTGTTCTACAGCTGTTGTATTGGTTTTTCACAGAACTGCATAGTTCCCTGTCAAACCTTTATTTTTCACACGACTGTATATATGTGTATATGTCACATAAGTGCCAGGTAAAATAATCATCCATGGAGGTGTGACTGGCAGAAAAACTGCTGGGTGTGAGTTTTAATGCTTTGATATTCAGTTCTCCTGTTTTACTCCTGCCAATGAACCCCAAACCACTTTTTCTTCTCCTTTCTTAGTTATCAGTTAAAATTTAATTTTTGTTTCTTATTCTTCTTAATTTCCCGGGGGTTGATATCCTCAATTTAGGCATATTTTTTACTGCTTACTTGGTGCAAATACATCTAATATACCATTATCGTTTATTAAAATGTCTAAAGTTCCCTACTTCCATGTTCCTGCTGTGGTTTTAATTCAACTCACCAATATTTTCCACGTCTTTAGACAGACTGTTCCACACTTGATATCCCTCACACGGGTCATAAACAATAAACCAATTTGTAGGCTATATTAAAGAAAAATCTTCCATATCTGTTGCCACATCTTTTACATTTTTTATATTGTAGAAATCTTGTTTTGGTGGCCTAAATAACATTATTTAGTTTTCTGAATGCATGTTTGCCTTTATTTTGTTACACTAAAAATAACATTTTGATTATTATGATATAAAAATGTATATTTAAAGCATCATATTATTAAACTGAAAACTAACCAATCCTCTGGCTTGTTTATGTGTACAACCCCTACCCATAATGAGCAGGTGCCACCCAATGCCAAACCTCTGGATACGCCTGTGACTGTGTAATTTATTTTGAAAATATTTTTGACTTTTTTTTATTATTCTGTTCTCAGTAAATAAAGGCTGGTGTCAACATCACTATGTAGCACCTGACCCTTGATATCTGTAGCACCTTATGCCTTCACTTGACCATGTGACCATCTACAATCCTGCACGTGAACTGTTCTGTCAGTTTACATGTGAGTTTTCCTTTGAATCTACATAAAATCCACATTAGCCGCACAGAGGCATTACACAGAAACACAAACAACCAGCAGAGTTGTTGATGCTGGATCCGGACTTGGATCCGGAGCTGAGCCCAAAACAGCAGTCCAATGTGACTTCCGGTTTTCACAATAAAGGCCCAAACTTTAAAAGAACCCAACACCAGCCAGGGGTGGATAAAATGTTGACATTAAGATCTCTAAACATTACATTTTACATTATTGAAAAGGTCGGAGCTTTACGGGATACAAGTTTCTATAAATTAACGAACAACTGACCTAAACTGGGGGGAAACATCTCACAATCCCCTTCTACGAATTTCACCTAGTTAGTGGAAGTTTTTCAGACTTTATTGTTACTGCGATTCCTTTGTGGCATTTTTTTTTTTTTTTTTGGTATTCCAAATCTCAGTATAGCTCGGGACGTGCACTTTTCTTCTTGTGTGTAGGATAGGAGGCAAAATACAGAGACGTGTTAACCTGCAGGAGACCCATAATGAAAGCCAGGCTGTCTGTCTTAGAGTGCTGAGTTTCAGAAAGAACAAATAATTTCATCAATGAGAGTGGCCTGGATGGACAGGATTAAAACGAGTACATCAGAGAGACAGCTCAGGTAGAGCAGTTTGGGGGCAAAGTTTGTGAGACAAGGCTGAGATGGTGTGGACATGTGCATATACTGGACATACTGGAAAAAGGATGCTGAAAATGGAGAGCAGGCAGGAAGACCACAGAGGAGGTTTGTGCATGTAGTGAAGGAGGACACTCAGATAGGAGAAGAGGGGGGTGCTAGAGGTAGCGTTAGAAGAAGGCAGATGGTACCCAAAGAGAGCAGTCAGAAGAAGAAGAAAAATGAGAAAGAAGTGTAAAAGTGGGGACACCTGCTCACGTTGACCTGCTCCGCCAATAAAATTAGTGCAAGCTTTTATTTTGAAGGTCTGCAAGGGCGGTCCAGCGGGCTGCTGTGTGTGGTTTGACTGTTTTTGTGGCGAAGGCGCCACGTCGGCAGAACCAGCAGGGTGAAAAGAGAGCTGTGCAGCGCTACCTGTAACTGTGTGCGCCAGGAGAAAGTGGAAAGCTGCACACTGATGCGGTAAAGGCTTGAAAACCCAGAGGAAGAAGAAAGAGAAGAAGAAGACGCAATCAACAGTGAGAGCAGCAGCTTCCACGCACAAGCTGAGAAAAACTAATTAAATTAAAAGATAAGGAGAGGAGAAGAACGCTGCTAGATTCTCAAGTTTCTCTGTCAGGTGTGTTCGTGGAGAAGCACTGGGAACAATGGTGAAGGTAAGAAGTCACCAGTATCCTTATTAATGTACAAACGTGTTTGAAAAAAGAGGGGAGGGGGGGGGGGAGTAAGTGGTTGAACAAAATGCGTTTGAGTTGGGCAGCTTAACCGGATGGAAGCTGGTTGGGGCTCCGTTAGTGATGATGTGGAACTTAAATATTGTAATAAGATATTTTTTTCCTCAGCAGCCTGACTTCCAGGAGAAACGTGTCGTTTTTTCTTCAGTAGCTTTAAAAAGAGGCGTCACGGCTTCCTGCAAATGTTACCCAAGCTCTGCTCCACTACTGCCACATGTCAAGTCAGTTTTAAAAAAAAAAGCGCACTGGATTTGGTTTTACAGACCGAGCAGAGGGCACATTAATCAAAAACGCATATTAAAATAGTAGCATTCACTTTAAACAAACTGTGTGGTGCACAAGAGGGTAAAAACAGAAGAGCAGGGGGTGGAGTGAAGTCTAATTTTATTATGAAAGAGTGCTGGATTAGATGCACTATTCACCACTGTGCAGAAGGAGTCGTTGTGTAAAGAAGTTAACACCACAGTGACACATGTCCACTATCAGCTGGATCAAGTGCTCCTGGTCAGTGTTGGTGTCACTGGTTAAGTGTTTCTCATACATTAAGCACAAGCTTGTATCAGTGTCTCACCATCAGAAGAGAGAGGAACACAGTGTTCAGTGTTAGGAGCAAATTTAAACTCAAGAATATGTGCACACACAAAAAGACGCAGCTCTTCATAGCATGAGGTTTAGATAGCTCCGAGTATAGCAGATAATTACATGTTGGAGCTCTGAGCCAGTTGGCCAGATGCTGTTTCATCTGATATTCATCTAAGAACGCACAGAATAAAAGTTTATTTCTTTGTTTAAACTGATTAGAAACTGAATCTGTGTTTTGCAGAGTAATCAGCTGGAAGGTTAAACATGACCATCCACACTCTTACTGAATTCCTGTGAGCAAGGCTTCCAGTCTGTTTTACATTTAGGACACAATAAGGGATTCGTTTTTCTTCTCCTAAACTTCACTTATTCAGACAGAAATCAGCATCAGCATTATCTAAGCACCCCTCAGAGAGAATCTAGCCTAACCCCACAGAAAAATCATCTGAATAGTAGTAAAAAAAATTCTGTAGTCAAGGTTTAATTCTTTCAGGCTTAATATACATAAAATGAAATGTACAGAAAGGGCAGTAAAATACATAGAAATCTTTAACAACTGCATAACACACATTCATTGTGTAGTCACTCACCACAAAATGACAAGGCAGGAAAAACCCTCAGTACCAGAGCCAGAATAATTCCTTGCATTTGGGAAACGTTTTCGTCCACAAAATAAATTTTTGTTTCCTAAAAGAAACTCAAAATTCTTAGATGTTAAATTAATTGTCCAGTGATTTAGAGTTACAGATAAAGTTTGCGAACATAAAACTGAAGGACAGATTTCAGAAAACATGTCTGTAGCTCTTAGACTGGGTCAAGCTCCAGAAAAACTTGATCCTTATGATTTCATTAATGTAACTGGATAGCAGTACCCTCAGGAAAACACCACAGGTGTATTGAAAAGCTGAATTTCATCTCCCCTCAGCCGGTCCTGGCAGGTGGTCATGGTTTCTTCCTGTTTAAAGGGAGTTTTTTCCCCCCACAGCTGTCACAACCTGCTTGCTCTTAGAGGATCGTTGAGTATTTCATATTTGCTTACACAAATTTTTATAAAAGGTCCATTTTGATGGGTAATTTTTTTTGTTATATGTTTTTATTTATCTCAATACTTTTATTTTTTTAATTACATTTATATGCATATATATGTTTTTACTTTTATGTAACTTTTATTTTAATTAGACGTTACTTATTCCAACAGTCATGATCTAAGAGACATGAGTACTTCATCTTGTTCTGTCATGTTTCTTCATGATGAGTGAAAATAGAGAAACTTGAACCTATAAAGTGTCTCAAGGCGACTGTTATCGCGCTCTTGTGATGTAATAATAAAACTGAAGTAAATTTAATAGGTGTCTTTTTTTAACCAGTGTTTTTTTGTTGTTGTTTTTTTTGTTATTGTTATGAAAAAATATCAACAATAGCTGCAGGTTTATGTCTCAGGCTTTGTAAAGCTCCCACAGAGCCACACACAACTGATTCATCGCACTGAGGAACACAAAATATGACCAATAACCTGATGTATTTAAAATTCAGTGTCCCTCTTTTTGTTGTGTAAGTACAAAGAGGCAAACTGAATAAAAGTGGCCTAAAAGAATCAGTGGGCATGTTGCAAATGTGACAGTTCAGTGTTATGAGCTTATATTAGTCACACTCCCACAAGAAGTATTATGCTGTGCTCATGACCAAAGTTTAAAACACTGAGGTCAGAATATGTAAGTAATCCCTGTGAGCTAAAAGCTTTGATTTCAGACTGCACTAAACACTCAGTCTGTTTTTTTCTACCCTTGGATCTGAATTACATCATACAGATGCAGGAGTAGAGCTGTCTGACTTCTGTTTTTGAGCGACAGCCAATCAGAGGAAAGTTTGCTTATATCAATCAGAGCAGGCCGAGTATTAGATAAATAAGGACTCCACTGCGAGTCATGCGGAGCTGCCCG